TGTGTGTGTGTGTGTGTGTGTTGGAGAGGGCAGCTGGTGCAAGGGCGTGTGAAGTGGCAAAGCAGGGGCGCCTGGGTGCAGCAGAAGATGGTTCGCAGTGACAATCCGCTCAGCGGCGCTGGGACCTCGCAGGCTCTTCCCGCAGGGTCGCGGCCTTGTTGCGACCAGGCAACGGCAACCTGCCTCCTCCCTACGCAGGGTCGAGCGCGTGCGCGCGGCCCCCTCGCATTGCGGTCCCCTGCCCACCTGGGCCCGCATCGCCCGTGAGCCACCCCCTCCACACGCGGCCCCGCACGAATTGGATCCCAGCCATTCGGCCCACAAGGATGTCCAGGCCAAAGCGCGCCTCGCACCTGGGCAGGCTGCGCATGCGCACGTGGGCGACAGGGACAGCATCTGCCACCTTGTATTGCAGAAGCTCCTTCACGATGATCAGTCCAATCAGGTCAGTCCTAGGGTTGGGGGAGGGGGGCGGGGAGAGCAGGATTGAGGGGCGCGGGACGCAGGGCGGAAGAGGGGTTCTGGGGTTGCGATGAGTGGGTGGTGCGAGGGGTCTCATGTGTTGCCACAGCAGCTCAGGTGAGGGATGGAGTAAGCACCGGGGGGCGGGGGGCCGGCGAAGTTCAGCAAGAGGGGGCGCGGGTGCACAAGACCAGATGCGCAGGGGGGGTGGCGCTGGGCCGCGCGGCATCCGCGCGTCTGTGGCTCTTTGCGGCTCAGGCGTTCGGCTGGGGTGCGGCGCCCCGTGCCGGGCCCCTTGCCGCCGTCCCCGCAGGCGAATACCTCAGCTGCCCCGAACAGGCAGTTTCGCAGCGCGCGTGCCGCCCCGCCGCGCGCGGTTGCGCTCTCACTTGTCGCCGTCCCTGTGCACGGGTATCCTGCTGTGGCCTGAGGCCAGGATGGCCTGCATCGTGGGCTTGTCCAGGCGCGCCTCGCTGCTGAGTGTGAACACCTTGCCCAGGGGGGTCATGGACCTGGGGGATTGAGGGGTGGGGTGGGTGCACGCGCGTGTATGCGTGTGTGTGAGTGTGAGTGTGTGTGTGTGTGTGTGTGTGTGTGTGTGTGTGTGTGTGTGTGTGTATGTGTGTGTGTGTGTGGGTGTGTGTG